TCTCACCAAACAGAGCATTTTCCAATCCCGCAGAATCAGAAGATGTGATTCTGTTACAATTTCGTTCAAGATTCAACATGAATTCAAGAAACGAAATCAATCACACAACACCTCACTGGTTCACTCGTGTGTTCCTGTGGATCTGAACCGGAACTCTGATATCAATTGCTAGTGTACAAGGTGATGAAAAACAGGAAGAATGAGAGAATATATTTATTGCTCTGCAATGACGGCTACAAAAACTGTAAGAAAGATTGATTAAAATATGACAGCTATCACTATTCTATTCATACACAAAGTAAATTGTCACGTAGGCCCTGACAAAGTAAATTTAATAGTTAAGTTAACAAAATAAACCCAACTCAACTCGAGAGGTTAAACATGCTTCTAGAATATAATAAACTACTGCTTCTAATTAAACAGTCTCAAAAGCTTGTAGTTTCTGACTACCAACCTCAAAAACTCCACTGCTTCTGAGTAATAACATCAGAAACTTCTGATTTCAACGACCGCATCTAAATTTAAATTAGATCTACAATACGTGACTCACACCAATGCCAAACAAAAAGATATGATGCCATCATCACACAATCTCTTTAACCATAAATACTCATGGGGTGATGTTTATACCTTTCTTATTCAAGCCAATGTTTGTCATTATTGTTAGAAATGTCAAGAGTTAACAGCTGTTTTATCTAAATATACAAAATGTGATCACTTATGAAATGCTAAGCAAACACGAGACGCAATGGTAACACAAACATATGAGACACGTCGTTGTAATCTTTAAAGGTATAAAAGTTACAAGTATGTATATTTTTATCTAATACTAATTGAAATGGAGGAAGCAACTTGCTTCTAAAATTGTAGTAAAGATTTAAAATTAGGGTAAGATTCCTTACCATTAATTAAGGGGGCAAGAGATAAAACTAATACTCTGTTTTAAAATAAATGCCGTTTAAGATTTTTACACATAAATTAAAGAATGTAATAATATTGTCATAAAATATTACATTTTTATAAAATTAACTTTATTAATATATTGAAAGTAGTATAAAAGATAAAAAATAAAGAACACAGTTGAAAAAAATTAATTAGTAATCATTATTACATTAAAATATAAAAATAATAGTCATTTTAAAACAAAATTTATTTATTAAAATGTCATTGATTTTAAAACAGAGAGAGTATATTATAATATTTTCATTTTCATGTTCAAAGACAATTAATTGACGCGTCTTGAAATTATGAAAGCTTTGTTTTATCCCAAAAAGTTGAATTTAAAGAAAACACAGATGTTGTTATTGGTATACAGAAGTTGAACTACGTGTGAAGGATTTATGCACAATTTTTAGATAAAATAGAGAAATTGACAACAATGCAGAATTGACTGAGGAAAGAACAAAAGGGAAACAGGTCATGTTTCATTCATTATTACTTGACAGGTTTCAAAATCGTTTTTCAAGGTGTCACTAATAAAGATAAAGAACATTGGCACCATTTGTGATACTTGTATTGGTAATCCGTGCACATAGAAAAATTCATAAAATGGTAGAATCATTGTATATTTAAGATTCTTTGGACTCTTTGTAAGAACAATTACTCTAAAAAAATTCAATGCCTCTAGGGTTAGGAAACCACAAACATGCTCGATGATTAGATCCTTTAGTCCTTTAATTCCCACTTTTTCCACAACATTTTACAATAGTAAATAAAAATATGACATATTTTTTATATATATCATAAAAATAAAGTTAAACAAGTAATAAATTGTGTCACTATCCTTTTTGAATAACAAATGCAATCGTCTTAAAAGTTACATTTATTGTCCTAAAAGACATAACATTGCATGCATGAGTCTTTGGACTCTTTGTAGAAAAAAGTTACTAAAATTCAATGAGAAACTTCTCAAACACAAATGTTTAGTGTATGAATTAAGTAACATTTTTTTTGATACGTACCCTTCACCTTTTCTTTGTTTTGTAGCAATATTTAGTTTTTGCTTCTGACAGACATCTCCTATAATTTATATATATAAATATATTTGTGTGTTGTGATCTGAAAACATAACAAGAGACAGATATACCATATTCTTATTGTACTTGAAGTGATGTGTCCCTTAGTTTTTTTGTCTCTCCTATTCTTATTCTTAATTGATGGTTCTAAGGGTCAGCTTCGAATTAGTTTCTACTCAGACACATGTCTTCCCGCAGAATCCATTGTCCGTGATGTTGTTAGAGAAGCTGCTCTTTCTGACCCAACTGTGCCTGCTGCTTTGCTTAGGCTTCATTTTCATGACTGTTTTGTTGAGGTGTGTGTTTCTGTCTCTTAAGCTGTTTCATGTTTTGGTTCTAGTAACATTGTTTTGACATGATTTGGATGCTTTTTTCTCAGGGATGTGATGGTTCCGTTTTGATTGATAATGTTCCAGAGCCAGAAAGAGATGCATTCGAACATCTAGGTCTTAGAGGGTTTGATGTGATAGAAAAAGCTAAGGCAAAATTGGAAGAATCTTGTCCAGGAGTGGTTTCTTGTGCAGATATTGTTGCATTGGCAGCCAGAGATGCAATTTTCATGGTCCTAATTCCTAACTTCATGCTCTAATTTATTTCTATTAATTTTGCTCAAGAATTGAATTTTCATCATTGAAGTTGTTAACTAAAGACTTTTGCGTTATGCAAGCATTAGGTTTTTCTATAAACCGATTATTTCTATGTGCAACTGTAGAGACTAATCTTTTAAGTTAGGTGATAACACGTTCTTCACAAACATTATTTCAAGAGTTTTAACACCGTTGCATGAATTTTGACACCATGTAGGCAAATGGACCTTGGTACAAAGTTCCTACAGGGAGGAGAGACGGATTTGTTTCTAATAGATCTCTTGCAGATGATATGCCAGATGTTAGTGATTCAATTCATCAACTCAAAACCAAGTTCATGAACAAGGGTCTCACAGATAAAGACCTTGTCCTTCTCAGTGGTACTCTCTCTATCTTTCTCTCGCACTTACCACATACCAACAATAATTCCTACAAATCACTCTTTGTTTATAATTGCATTTGCAACTTGTATTATTGTATGATAATTTATAACCATGGTAACTAACGTTCACTCTTGTGATAAATTCAGCTGCACATACAATAGGAACAACGGCATGTTTCTTCATGACAAAAAGACTATACAACTTTTTTCCATCTGGTGGTGGATCAGACCCTGCTATAAATCCAAATTTCCTCCCAGAACTAAAGGCAAAGTGCCCTCCAAAGGGACACGAGAACGACCGTTTAGCCATGGACATAATGACAGAAAGAAAATTCGACAAGAACATATTGAGAAACATAAGGGAAGGTTTTGCTGTGTTAGAATCTGATGCAAGACTAAATGATGATGCAAGAACAAAAGCTGTGATGGAATCATACTTAGGTCCCTTAACTCCAATATTAGGACCTTCTTTCGAAAATGATTTTGTTAAGTCAATTGTTAAAATGGGACAAATTGGTGTCAAGACAGGTTCTGACGGAAACATTAGACGTGTGTGCTCAAAACTCAATTGATGTTCACATATTAATTATGATCTATAATAAGATTGTAATAAAAATGGAATGATATTTGCATTCATAATTAGAAGACTTAAAGTTGAATAGCAGATGAATATTTTTTTAATGCCAAATATAGCAAAGTCCAAGAATATCTATCATAATTAATGAGTGCTTTTTAAAAGATAATTAATCCAACAAGAGACTTGATAGATGCACCAAAGAAGTAATGATATACTGAAATGTTATACTTTTGAGAAGGGGTTCATGCCAGATTTCATGTTCAGCACCGAAACGTTCTGTTAAACCCCTATAATTACACTGCGAAATATGTCATTTTAAACTGCCACGGTTTACAAAGTTGTGGAAAATATTTAACATTCCATATCAAAACCATTAAACAATAATATTAGTTTGAAAAACAAAGACAACAACTTTTTCATATAAAGACATTTAGTTTGAGCTGTAACAAATGAAGTGATTTAAATGATGATTCATATTATTCAAGCTTCAAACAAAAGAAGCAATTATACTGAGAAAAGTATGGTATCAAATGCACATACATACTCTAGATAATAGTTTTTGTTAATGTAACAAATATGCAGTAGATAAGGAAAATTCAAGATGAGAGGCAATGCATAACCTATATTAAAATCCTAGTAGGAAAAATAAATACAAGATATAGTTTAAGAATTGAATATCTAGAAAATATATTTTGACTATAAATATGAATATCAGTATGAATCTCAATCCTAAGAATTATGCATAGAGTTTTCATGTTCTGGTATGCAGTAAAGAGTCATAGGAACCACCTCTTGTCTGTAGTTGGTGCAGTATATGCTCAATTGCGTCCTTGGTTTCTCCTAATAGTCGATGATTCATCAGGCGTTGCATCGATGAAATCAACCAAGCTTAACAAACATAGAATGATATAGGAAATATAAATCCCAATTTTACCTTTAGAAATTAATTGGTTTGAGAAGAAACACAATGTATCAGCAGAACAGGAGATTGTGGCAATTTAAGTAATGATGGTGCAATAAGGAGTGAAAAGGAAGGTCCCATCGGTTGTTAGGGTTCAAACTTGTATGATGGTTATTTGATATCGTTATTGATTAGGTGTGATTATGGCATGATATCGATATCAATTGGATGAGTTTTGAACTTTAGAATAATATTAGGGAAAAACATATTGAAAATGAATGAAAAGATAAAAGGGAAAGCTGCAACTGGTTGAAAAAAAACATATTGAAAACTGTAGGTAGAAACCACAGAGATAGAAGTAAAACTACTTCCACTTTGGAATATATTAATATCTCTAACATACAAGCTAAGTCACATGGGCATCGCATGTAGTCCCTTCCTCTAAAAAATCCACTACAGATACACCCATTGATCCATTCATGATCAACAATTGGATAATATCATATGTGAAGAACCTGCATCCTTTAAAAATGCTAACATGAGATCACAAGAAGAAGAGGCTGGAGAAAAAGGGAGGAGAAGGAAAGAAAACATTCAAACTGAAGTTGATGATGATGTTCTTATCACACAAATAATGAATAAGATCCTTAGTAATGTTACCAAGACTCAGAAACAAACAGATGATGTCGAGGAAGAAACAGAAAATATTGAGGAATCTACTGTTAAAAGGACTCTTGCCACAAATAACAAGAAGAAGAATAAAGAAAAGATTGAACATGTTAAAGAAACTATGATAACTACCAAGAAATCTGGAGCAAAAAGGAAAAAGGTTGAAAGTAATCATGCTAAGAAGAATACTCTCAAGAGAAAACCGGTGACAGCTAGTGACTCTGAGTATGATGTTGAAGCAAATGTCCTAGACATCGTGTCCTCAACAAGGAAAAAGATTGGTGGAAGGAAAATTCATGTTAATGTTCATGATGCTCCACTGAACAATGTGTCCTTTCATACTGAAGGAAATGTTAAAAAAATGGAATATATTTGTCAGATAAGGGTTGCCCTTGAAAGAGAGATAAGTAAGAATGCTCTTGGAGGTCATGAAGTTCTAAAATTACTCAAGGAATATGGTTTAATGAAAATAGTGTCAGATATTGGACCATGCTATGAAAAGCTGATTATGGAATTCATTGTCAATATCTCTCTTGAGTGTAATGAGGAAGGAAATGAGGAATTCAAGAAAGTGTATGTTCGGGGTGTTGTGTGAAGTTCTCCCCATAAGTCATCAATGACTATCTAGGTAGAAGCAAATTGACTGCAACTGATGAAGTCCGTTAGTTTAATGGCAGAAAATAATAAATATAGTGGCAGAGAAGTAGAGAAACCAGGATTTTAGGGAATTGAATAATTAAACTAATTTGTTCCTAAAGTATAGCAACTACTACTAGCTTGCTCCTAAATTATAGCAACCACTAATTGACTAGGTTGCTAAAAACTGAAACAATAAAATGAAATAGTAAAAAAATCTAGCAGTTACAAAAGCACATGATTAATAAAGTCTCCTTCTCGGACAAAATTGCTTGAGTTATCACTGTAAAACAAATCAAGGAATCAGCCACTCCTTCTCTTGTACTATCTCTAAGAAAGAGGTATCTAACATCTATGTGTTTGCATTCCATGCATAGTTGGATTTTTCGACAATTTGATTAAGGAGTTGTTGTCAAAGAATATTATAGTCTTCTTCGTTTGATCAGATGCTAAAGAAAGTAATCTATGGTCAGAATATTAAAATAACTAGCAGGTGTGTTTGGGGTTCTTAGCATAAAATGCACAAATATTACACGTGACAGGAGTACAATTCGAAACAAGAATATGTCCATTTAAAAATTATAGGACACATCACAAACTGTTAGTATGAAAACAGGTCATTGCAAACAAAACAATAAAAATACACTTGCTTATCTAATTATTGTGGTAGTCTCGGATGTTTATAGCTGTAAAAGTTCAAAAAATGAAGTGTATAAAATGCAACTGGGAGTATCCTCAGTGTTTATGAAGTGCTCAAAGTTTGAACTGAGCTAATACCAGACTTATTAAAAACACCCTTAGTCTTCATTTTCTCCCTTACAACTTCGACATCATTCCATCTTTCTGCTGAAGCATAGACATTTGACAAAGCAACAAAATCTTCACTTTTATGAGCCAACTCTTCATAACTCTTCTCTTTAAACTTTAGAAGAAACCTCCCCACTTTCTCTCCCATCACAACATCCCCATGAATCTTACAAGCACTGAGCAAGCTCCTCCAAATCAGAGCGTCCGGACTAATCGGCATTGCCATGATAAAATCATAAGCCTCGTTCAAGTTTCCGTTTCGTCCAAGAAGATCAACAACACAACCATAATGTTGTATCTGAGGCACCACACCAAATTTCCGTTCCATATCACGAAACAACCGAAGCCCTTCTTCAACAAGCCCTACGTGACAACAAGCTGACAACAAACTCGTAAAAGTCGTTTCATTCGGCCTCACGCCATCACCTCCCATCTTATACAAAATCTCCAATGCCTCTTTCCCTCTTCCATGAATAGCTAGCCCAGTAGTCATCGCAGTCCAAGTCAAAACATTCCTCAATTTCATCCGCCAGAAAACATACAAAGCACTCTCAAGACACCCGCATTTTGAATACATATCAACCAGTCCGGTCCCTATAAACACATCATCTTCAACCTTACACAACATCTTTACCGCAAACCCGTGTATGCAAACACCAATTTCCATCATACCTAACTGAGAAGCCGCGGAAAGCAAGCAAACCAAAGTAGTATCATTCGGTTTAACTTCACTCACACCAACCATCAACATTTCCTTAAACAAACACAACCCATCCACAGCGTTTTTTCCATTTTCATCTTTTACCGAACAATAACCAGCAATCATAGCATTCCACGTGACAACAGTTCTCTCAGACATTTCATCAAACACTTTACGTGCAGACTTAACATCTCTATTGTTAGCATAAAAATGAATCAATGTAGTTGGAACTAAAACATTGGAACCAAAACCTTGTTTTATGATTATTGAGTGTAGCTCTGTTCCTAATTTTAACGTTGGATATGAAGGGGAACGAGCACAAGCTCCAAGGATGAAATTGAAAGAGTGGTGATCAAAATGAATGAGTTGTTTAGAGAAATTGGTTTTGAAAAAGTGAATAGAGTGGTTAAGGGGGGTGCATTTAATGAGAGTGTTGAAGAGGAATAAAAGTGGGGTGTGAAAGTAGTAAAAGATGGAATTGAGAAAGTTAGGGTTTGGTGAAGTGGAAGAGTAATGGTTGACTAATTCGGACAGGAGTTTGGGGGAATTGAGGTTGTTGATGATTAGTTGGGCGTGGATTTGTTTAATGTTGTTATTTGTTAAGGTTTGTTTGGGAAGAGAATTTAAGAGTGAAATGCATTTGAGTCTAGGAAGAGTTATTGGCATGAGAAGAATTGGAAAAGCTCTTGGAAGAAATACAAGAATATGTTTTCTTCTTAGAAAATTGGTTCTCAGGCTATATCAGTGATATACTTACTACTTTGGTGCAGCCATGAAACCAAGTGATAAGTTCAGGTGTTACTTACACTCATCATCCCCTTCAACTTTTTATGCAAAATCCTGCAAAACAATTTCATGGTCAAACATTTTAGCATAAGCAGGGAAGTGATTGATATCAGTCATAAAAAGCATATATTTAAGCCTAACCTGATATTTTTATTCAACTATTGGTAGAAGCTAATCAATCACCTTAGTAAATTTTTTTTTTTTTGGATAGGCAATCACCTTAATAAATTAACTCCTTGTAGTAGCATTTTCTTTTATAAGAAATCACCTTAACAAGTTTACAAAATAACTATTTTTTAATGATTAAATTACTTACCGTTACATATGTGTTTTATTAAATCAGTTTAATTGATAGTTGTACAAAAATATTAAATATATGAACACAAATTTGAACCTATAATATTATATTTATTTGCCTTTAAATGGTGAATTCTAGACAATAGACTACTTTACCAAAACACAATTGCTTACAAATATTTTACAACTAATCCCAAAAATTCAACTATATTTATGGATTTTTATCTGTCACCCTCACACTTAAACTTAGCACCCCATAAATGTTGTGATTTTGCCATATTAACCTTGTCAAATAAAAATACATTTCACTTGAATTTTTCAAAAACCACTAGGACTTACAGGAATTTTTGAGCAAACTACTAGATTTTTCAATGTAAGTATGCATTTTTATTGGCGATTTAACATTTTTATTAGATTTTTCTTTAAACATATGTATTTTACCTGATTTTTACAAATGTTCGATAGAAAACTCAAGTTTTTTTATGCATTTTTATCGATTTTTTAAAATATTAGGTAATTTCTTGAGCAGGCAACATAGGCCTTGGATATAGTCTGAGATAAAATATTGGAGCAGGATCGGACGTTCTGTCTTAGCCTTGTTATCACTGCTGACCAATTGAACCCGTTGGCTGAATCTTTTGAGAAGGATATCGGGGGCCGACCTGGATCTGAGGACCCGGGTGCCGACGCCTGAGCATTGTCTTATTCATTCTCTCTTTTCATTTTCTCTTGTAATATTTGATTGGACATTTGTGCATATATATATATATATATATATATATATATATATATATATATATATATATATATATATATATATATATATATATATATATATATATATATATATATATATATATATATATATATATATATATATATATATATATATATATATATATATATATATATATATATATATATATATATATATATATATATATATATATATATATATATATATATATATATATATATATATATATATATATATATATATATATATATATATATATATATATATATATATATATATATATATATATATATATATATATATATATATATATATATATATATATATATATATATATGCTTATAGATTTTGGTGTAACAGTGTTCCTTTTTCAACTGTCGTCGTTGTTCGATTGCGATTAGGGGAGGATTTGGATCTGAGGGCAGCTAAGGATTGCTTTAGAATCCTGCAATTTACATCATTGTTTGGTTTAGAAAGCAATAAACAATGGTTGTTTAAAGTATAAATAACCTTAAGTATTTTGCAAAACAATATATGGTTGTTTCGCCTGGAAGCGAGTTGCGTTAAGATTATGCGATGTCTTGATAGAATGCTGAGGTAGTAACGCATGGATGTGCTCAGAATATGCTTGTTCAGAGGAAGCATTTTTGCAGTTTGAAGTGTCTATATGTTAGATGGAGTCTAGTGGAACATGAGATCAATTTCGATCATTTATGCTCTTCTTTATACCCGTAAGTATTTCATGTCAGGTCCGATAGACACGGCTATACCTTAATCTTGTTTACATGGATAAGGTATGAGTTTGGTTAATCGTGGTAGTGTTTCGAATTATACTTATAGACGTGGTCATGAAATTGGATAAATGCGACCATGTTTTGAACCTCGCTTTGTGTCACAAAGAATCTTACTCGGCCAGTGGTAGAGGATCCACATCCCTGCCCCGAGGCTATGACTCGGATCGAGGTGGACGTCTTTAGGCTTCACCATGCTCTCTCTCAGATTGGATAGATCCATATCGAGGTGCCCCAACTTCGCATGATAGCGTGTATTTATTTGACAAATAGTATTTGCATGTTGTGTTCATACATGCAACTCGTCTCTGATAGCACCCCAAGGGGGATTGGTTGTTGTAGTCGGACGTACAAAGTGTCTCCCATAACTCCCCTGGATTAAGTAAGTGCACGAGGCACTGTGGGGAATTGATTATTGTAGTCGAGCGCTCGAAGTGTATCCAACAACACTTCTGACTTCTAAAGGTGCACGAGATGTTATAGGTAATTAATTGTTGTAGTCAGGCGCTCAAAGTGTATCTGATAACATCTCGGACTTTGTTTGGGCTAGTTGTGGGGGGTTTTTAAACGATCTATTCAGGCGGGCAAAAAATCTCTTATAACATCCCCGGGTCCTTAAGACGGACATTGAAATTATGTTCCTGAGGAGACAGATGATGGACATGATGTTAGAATGACTAGTCTAACAAGTTAAACCAGATTTAACACGCATATGGATAGAAACACACAATCAATGTAAAAGCAATAAATAACACCATATATTGGTAACCCAGTTTACTGCAAACAACACCTACGTCTGGATGATTGCCAAAAGATAGACT